TAGGCAGTCAGCTGTCAGGTTTTTCACCTCTGGATTATCAGGCTGTCTGTGATATTATACAACTGTAATTTATTGATGCTCTTTCTAGGTAATCACTTCCTCCTGATATGATATTTTTAAACATCCATAAGGCCCAGAGCTGTCAAGAACAACTTCGAGACACTCAAGTCCTGTTGTGATCTTGCAGGATTGCTCCTCTTTACGGGCTGGAAATGCCTGAAACAGCCTAAAAATCTGATTTGTTTCTCGTGGCTGCAGCGCTTCATGGCTTTCCAGGGATCAACCAGCACTCTTAACTGGGTTTTATTGTAGTTGATCATTCCAGCCACAGAGCCCTGAGGGTCTTGCAGGAATTGGAGCCTGTCCATGATGTTGGATTTCATCCTGTGTGTCCATTTCTCAAGATCAGCTTTTCTTCCCTGTGGGATCTTAAACCCTTCTGGAGGAACAGAACGTCACCCAGTGCTGCATCACCAGAAAACACCACCCCAATTCAGAACTCTTCCCTTTTGTCTGATGTCAGGAGGACTTGGCTTGAGAAATAAGGACTCATTTCTCTGTCTGGGATGTTGGATAGTCATGGAAAAGGATGAGCAGTGACTGGCCTGATCCACTGAAACATTCAGGACACATTTCTGCTCTTAAAGACTGCAAGCTCCTTCCAGGAAAGTCCAGGAAAGGACTCACATATTCACTCTACCACTTGCATGTCATTTTTTTATTAAGCTGAGTTTAAATTTTAAGGCAGATTTAGCAAGTGTGGATGGGTTTTTTTGAATCAGCCATGAAAACTTTGATATATGAAGTGTTTTTCTGATTTTTGGAGCAAGGCACAGCCAAGTTTTTTGCTGAAATGGGATTGCCTGGCCTTTGAAGGAAAGGGGGATTCCTGAAAATGCTCAATCATCCGTCTTTGATACTCAAACATCCCTAAAAACTGATGGATGTGGCTTTCTGAATTTCCCAATAGCCCAATAAAAAAGGGAATAGAAGAGGAAAAGAAAGTGCCCACACCTGGTACTAAAATACAGTCTAGTGTTGGCCTTAAATGTCTTTATTTGAGATCCTTCGTGCTCTCAACATCCCCTGGTCCCTTTTGGGATGAGGAATGGATTGTGCTGGAATCATCAAGTGGACCAAAGGCCCACCTGGTAGGAAAAAATCCAGAGAACTCTGGGAAGTCAGGAGCTGGATTTTAATGATCTTCCTGGATCAGTTCAGGATATTCTGTGATTCTAAATCCCGAAAAACTGGTTTAGGAAAGTGTGAGAAGGATGATCCACAGCTCTTTCTGGAGGGGTATGTCAGGCATAGAGCTGAGTGGAAGAGGAAACCAATTTCAGGGCAGCATTCTCAGAAATAGAGCAGAAACCCAAAAATTTATCACTTGTTAGGGGGGTGTGGTGACACAGGGCTGTGAGTGTGACTGGGAACGCTGAGCTTGACCAGCACAGACAAGCCCCATCCCTGAGCCCACGTTTTGCCAAGAACATGAAGGGGTTTTGCCCAGGTTTTTCCTTGCCGGTTCTCCACCTCATTTGGTGTCTCTGTGCAGACTCCCCGCTCTGCTGAGTAGCTCCCAATCCCTGGAAAAATTTATCAAGCACACACACAAAAAAAAAAAAAAAAAAAGGGAATGAAGTGGTGCTGGCGATGTGAGCACAGCCACCGTAAAACCGGCCGTGGGTCCGATCCCAAGCCAGGGAATCACCACAATTCCATATGTCCCGTGTGTGGAACGTCTCAAGGACAATGGTCCTTCATTAATTGCTGCTTTCAGGTTGGCGTAAGTGCTGGTGCTTCCAAGGAAACAACAAAGTGCTCTTTGATGTTGGCGTGAAAGGGAGGGAAGTGGTTTCCCTGCCGCTGATTCCATGGATGCGAGTTCCTAATGAGCCGCCGCGTTGACGGAGGGCTGTGGGAGATGGGAACGGGAACCTTGACAGGACTGCACTAAACCCACATGAGCCACCGTCACGCTCGGGGATGGTTTGGGTGAAACATCCCCTGTTTCTGTTGGAAAAGCTGCCAAAGCAACCGCGCCGGTGCCGAAATGCCGATCCGGAGCCGGCGTCACTCATCTGGGTGAACAACCTGCAGGAGGCTCTGGGGGATGTGTGGCTGAGGGGTTTGTTTGGATTCAGATATTTGGGAGGCTTTGCTTGGCGAGCCGGTGCTCTCTGCAGGTGGAGGAACAGATTTATCCCCACCGAAGCTGACTCGTTCCTCTTTAGCTGGGACTGATCAAAGAACCTTTCTGCCCTGGGGAGTTTTTTTATTTCAATTAAAAAAATATATATATTTTATAGAAATGTATATATTTTCAAGGGGAAAAGGTATATCTTAATATACATATAAACTATAATACTATATATATACATAGATTAATATACAAATAAAATACCTGTGAAGTTACGTATATATTAATATATAATATGTGGATATAATAATATATAATACTGATTTATAGATTAATATATTGATATATGTATAGAATAATATATACATATATTAATATATTAATATATCTATATTAATATACAATACATATATATTAATATACAATACATATATATATATTATGTATACTTGTATACATATATATTGTATATAATATAGTTTATATACACACAATGTAGAATTGTAGGATTGTAGAGTCCTTAAGGATGGAAAAGACCTCTAAGATAATACTATAAATATTTATTGGAATTATTATATATGTAGTAATTATTGAATATTAATATATAATATGTGTATAGACACATATAAATATATGTATATATAAATTAATTAATATATTAATTTGCAATACTTAAGTGTATCTATTAATATGTGCATATATGTATCATCATCCTATATTAATATATAATATATTAATATATTATATATTAATATATTATTATATTTTATTCATATATATTAATATATTATATTATATATAATATATATTAATATATATGTATGTATACTTATATACATATATATTCTATATAATATAGTTTATATACACACAGTGTAGAATCATAGAATCCTTAAGGCAGGAAAAGACCTTTAAGATCATACTATAAATATTTATTGGAATTATTATATATGTAGTAATTATTGTATATTGATGTATAATATGTGTGTATACACATATTAATATATGCATATATTAATATACAACACAGTGTATTTATATATGAATATAAAAATATGTAATACATATATTAATATACATGTATGTATACTTAAATACATATATATTCTATATAATATAATTTATATACACATAATGTAGAATTATAGTTTCATAGAATCCTTAAGGCTAGAAAAGACCTTTAAGATCATACTGTCTTTATTTATTGGAATTATTATATATCTAGTTCTTGAAAGTATTATATATTTATATAGACTTTGCTTCAGCTGCAGAAAGGGTTTTATATTTATATATGTACGTGAATGACTCTTCTGGGAGTAAATTGGTGATTCTGACAGGCTTAGTGTTCCTGTGGTTCCTTGAACGCATGAAATCAGGGAATCAGAATATCCTGAGCTGGAAGGGACCCACCAGGACCATCCAGTCCAACCCCTGACCCTGCCCAGGACACCCCAACAATCCCACCCTGTCCCTCAGAGCGTTGTCCCAACCCTCCTGGAGCTCTGGCAGCCTTGGGGCTGTGCCCACTGCCCTGGGGAGCCTGGGCAGTGCCAACCACCCTCTGGGGGAAGAACCTTCTGCTGAGATCCACCCTGAGCCTGCCCTGGCACAGCTCCAGCCATTCCCTGGGGGCTGTCCCTGCTCACACAGAGCAGAGGTTGGAGCTGCCCCTCATGAGGGAGCTGCAGACCCCCAGGTCTGACTTCAGTCTAAATGTATTTATTCCTCTGTTTTATCACACCTTGAGGAAGATCTTTATTAACACAAACACGGACTTGAGTCATTAGTGATAGTCAGGTTCGAGCTTTCACTGCAATGACAACTGGGTATTTTTAGAGAGAACAGGACTTTTTTGGGAGCACTGAGTTCTTAAAGGAGAAGCTTGATATGGAGAGACTTTTACCTTACTCTTCCCTTCAGCTGTGCCTGCCCAGGACACGCACTGGGAGAGGGTGTAGGGAAGGCCAGGTCTCCAAATGAAGCTGTTTCCCTGTTGGCATCACTGGGAGATGCTCATCTGAAGTGACCTGGAGCGATGCCAGTGCCTGTGACGGGGATTCATTGTCACACCAGGATGTGTCTGCCTGGCCTTAAACTCATTTCAACCTCTGGGAAATCGCTCCTCTCCAAGATTTATCACATCTCTGATACCACAGGGAGACCTTCTAGTGAAAGCTGGGGGTTGGAACAAGATGGTCTTGAAGGTCCCTTCCAACCCAAACCGTTCTGGGATTCCCTGGAGACTCTCAATTTTTATTTTGACTTCTATAGATGAGTTGCAAGGGTTTTTTCTGTTTTCTCTTTTTATTTCTTCCTCTGCACCTCTGACTATTTTCCTCCAGCTTCTATTGTTAGATAAAAACCAGCAGGGCTGTACCAACCAGCAGAAACAAGTGACCACATCTTTTTTTTTCCTTTTATATCTTATGGATAAAAGGACCCATCATAATGGATTTAAGCTGAAAGAGGACAGATTTAGATTGGGTTTTTCACAAGGACCTGGAGTATCAGGACACAGGGAATGGCTTCCCACTGCCAGAGGGCAGGGATAGATGGGAGATTGGGAAGGAATTGCTGGCTGTGAGGGTGGGCAGGCCCTGGCCCAGGTTGGGCAGAGAAGCCCCTGGATCCCTGGAAGTGTCCAAGGCCAGGTTGGAGCAACCTGGGCCAGTGGAAGGTGTCCCTGCCTGTGGCAGGGGGTTGGAAATGATCTTTAAGGTCCCTCCCAACCCAAAACATTCTGTGTTTCTCTGATTCTATGACAAGGTTTGCATGAAAGATAATACAATTTACAACCTTTAATCCATAAAGGATTCAGTTCAGGACCAGGATCACAGACCACTGTTGTTTTTCTTGGCAGAGTCGCCTGAAGGAAGCAGTGCAGCTGTTGGAGGATTACAAACATGGGACTCTGCCCCCAGGAGTCACCAACAAAGAGGTAAGAGGGGAAAACCTTTATTATTATTGTTATTATTATTGTTATTATTATTATTATTATTATTCCTTCAGTTACAGTGGGCAGGATAAGGTGGGCTTTTAGGCTGTGTCTGTGGTCAGATGGTGTATTTTTGGTGTTTCTGCTGGTGAAATCCTGCGCTGGCTTCTCTTGCAAACTTGTGCTCGTCCAATTAAACCCGAAATCACATCATTTTCTTTTGTATTCTTTTAGCTGAATGAAACCTTCTTGTCAGTCCTGTGGGTTCTTGTAGCAGCAGCTGTGAGGCATCACCCCCCCTTCTCCTTCAGTGTTCATGCTGGTTATAATAATTGTCATTTCTCCACAGAAATAAATGCATAAACCCTACCCAAAACCCTCTGGATGTCCTCGTGTTGCAGGTTGTACCATCAGTAGTGGTGCTTCTTGCTGGGTGATGTTCCTGCTGTTGGGGTGGAAGTTGCAGGAGGTTGTGGGACTGTCTCCCCACCTTTATAGGAAGGTCTTAGCAGAGTTTTTGGGGCAGTTACTGAGAAAAGGGTTGTTTTTTGGTAGAATTTTGAGACAGAGGGACGAGCTGGGTGGTCTCTCCAAGAGACCATCAGTCTTGTTTTTTTGGCTTTTGGCTGCTATTTATCTACATTTGGAACTTGTGGAAGCAGAGATTTTGGAAGGGTTAGGCTGCTTTTTGAGCCTTTTACCTCCAAACCTGTATCATGAAACAAAAATCATGAATTTTCTGGCTACTCCCTCAAACTCTTTTCCTTTCCTGTCCACATGTGGCCACCTGACCACAACACGGACACAGGGGCTTTTTTGTGGTCCATGTTTGTGCAACTAGCACAAAATATTTAATTTCTACTTAATTTAATGTCACATAAAGAGCAGGATGAATGGATTGGCAGACTTGCTAGAGGGGGCATAAAAGCAAGGGGTGCCAAAGGACCAGGGAACCTCCCCCCAAAAAAAAGCAGTGGTGGAAATGCTGGAGAACTCTTCTTCCTGTAGGTCAAATAACCTCTTTTACATTTTTATTTCCTGTTCCCAAGTGATAATTTCTCCTCGTGAAAGACAAACACAGCAGGTAAATGAAGGAAATTCAAACTGGTGTTGTCTTTAAAAAGTGGCAGCTGGCGTGGCAGGAGCTGTGTTGGGAAAGGGGCACAGCTTCCACAGGAAAGAAATGGGAAACATCCCCTCCCTGCACGTCACAAGGCACTGCCCTCCTGGTGTTTTGGTGTCACTGCATTCCTTCAGCCATAATCTGATGGTGAGGAAAGAGAACCCGGGGTTGGGGAAGGAGAAAAGCAGGGAGTGATGCAGCAGCAGATGACTCAGTTCCCATCTGCCTCCAGGCAGATGACACCCAAGTCATCCCTGTGCAAACCACGCAGACTTTTGACCTACATTTTGCACGGTGACAAAGCCAGGCTATTCCCAGAGTTCATTCAGAACTGCGGAGGGAGAGAGCAAGGAAAAGCATCGTGGGGTTTGTTTGCCTCAGTCATGACATCACTGGCAGGAGGGGAAACCTGTGCGAGCTGGAGGGGCTCTGAGTGGGAAACAAAGGTGTGGGGCAGAGGAGGAGAGAGGAAATGATGGCAGAAATGCCTTCCCCAGAGAAGTGGCAGCACAGCAGAGTAAAGAATAACAGGGTTTGTAGTAAAAGCTTGGCTCAGTTTTAAGCTGAAGAGGGTAGATTTAAACGAGATTTTGGGAAGGAATTCTTCCCTGTGAGGGTGGGGAGGCCCTGGCACAGGTTGGGCAGAGAAGCTGTGGCTGCCCCTGAATCCCTGGAAGTGTCCAAGGCCAGGTTGGAGCAACCTGGGCTGGTGGAAGGTGTCCCTGCCTGTGGCAGGGGGTGGAACAAGATGAGCTTTGAAGTTCCCTTCTGCGACAAACCATTCCATGATTCTGTGAGTAGATCCCCTCAAGGCTGAATTTTTGCCCAGGGTACCACAACCACTCTAAAAAGGATGAAGATGTCACCTGGAAGCAGGTGACAATCAGAGCCTGACTCCCCCCAGCTCCCCCCTCCTGTCAGGGAGTTGCAGAGCCAGAAGGTCCCCCCTGAGCCTCCTTTTCTCCAGGCTGAGCCCCCCCAGCTCCCTCAGCCCCTCCTGCTGCTCCAGCCCCTTCCCAGCTCCGTTCTCTTCCCTGCACACGCTCCAGTCCCTCAATGTCCCTCCTGCCTGAGGGTCCCAGAACTACCCCCAGTATTGGAGGTGTGGAGAAGTTTTCCTCCAGCCCAGCTCACAGGAGCCTGCCCAGTGAAGATGGACAAAATCATCAAATGCTGTTGGCATTCATGTGTTCCATCTGGGTGAAGGTGAAATTTGAATCAAAAGACACCTGGAGAATATGTTTTTGCTTTCCTCAGGCTAAGTTTTACCACATTTATGCCTTTTCTCTGCACCACTGCCTGCAGGGTGGACTCTGGCTGCGAGGCATTAACAATGTGCAGTTGTTCTGGTCCTGATTTGGGAAAGGGATGTGATGCAGCTCTGGGGAGGTGCCCACTTTGTGGCTCACCTGCATGGGCTGATGTTGGAATAAAGGACTGAGCCATCTGATGTTTCATGTAGCTGATAACTGAGTGTCACACACTCCTCTGATGCACTGAGAGGTTGCCACAGGCAGGCAGGAGAGAGCAGATGAGTGGTAATTTGATTTTTGACTGACTTTGGGGGTTTTTTTCCCCCTCTTTGACTGTCATCAGAGCTAATCCCTTTGTGTTCACCGTGGGCAAGAAGTGTGAGTTGGAGCAGTGACTTGGCTCATCTCGTGTTGTATCTGAGAGAGGACAAATTGCTGTCATTACTCATCAAAAAGGCTGTGCAGAACTTCAGTGATGCTCAAGAGAGCAGAACTCGGCTTTATCTTCTTAGTTTAAGAGCTGATTTGGGTTTAGCTGCTCAAACCCCCCCTGAAAAATGCAAAAAGGCATTGGAAAAAGGCTCTTTGGGCATGGCTTGGGAACAGCACGTGCCGAGAAGGGACAGCCTGAATGGTCTTGCGTTTCATAATCAGAGTGAAAACCACGACCACCAAAAAACCAAGACTTCAAAAATAGCAGCCTGGGCAGAGTTTTAAAGCATTAGTTCTCTGAGAACTCGATGCTCCCCCCCCCTCAAATATCAGCTTTGAGATCAAGGAGACGGGTTGTTTTGACAGAACGTTTCACCAGTCTCCCGACGGATCCACTCCGGCGGAGCGGCGCGTTTGGCAGTGCTCGAATTCCTCCTTTTTTTTCCTCCCCTCATTCAGGAACGGGGAAGGATGGCAGGCAGCAGCTCAGCATGGGCTCTATCGCTCTGCTGAAGTGGCTTCACCACGTGAAAAATGGAAAATAGGAGAGCCTAAAGCTATGTCGCGTCAAGCATCTCCTCCGCGCGCGTCTCCTTGACAGGGCTCTCGTGGAACGAGGCTCTCTCTTCTGCCTTCCCCAGGCAGATTTTTCAAAATGAAGCTGAAGTGGAACAGTTAGGGGCTATCTTAAGGTAAAAAAAGAAAAAAAACCCAAGCCAACTCTGAAGAGACGTGATCATTAAAGAAAAAAAAGCTCTGAAGAGGCGTAATTGTACTTTTAGCAGCTCCCCATGAGCGGTTTCCAGAATCAACGCGGCTCGCTCTCCGAGATGGTTCCCGGACACCAACACTTCCAACACCTACAGCTCTGCCCCTTTCAGGTCTCTCACACTCACCCAATAATTCTTGGTTTTGCTCTGGGAGCGATTTTGCCGCTCAAGAAAACGACCATTGACTCAAGGTGGTAAAATCCCATTTCTTGGGCGTCATTAGGAAAAATGGAGAATTGATCCCTTGGCTGTCGATAGCTGCTGGACTGCTGAGAGCTCCTCATTGAGGGTTTATCCCTACATTAGAAAGATGTTTTAAAAACATGATTTTTATCGCTGCTGTATCAAATTATTTAGTCAGCAAAACAGGGGAGAAGTAGCTGCTCGATCAGGATTTATTCAGAGCAAGAAAACGCTCTCCAGTCTCCACTTCTACAGCTCAGCTTGGTTTTTTTTTATTTAAATATTTAAGAACCAGACTTGTTTTTTGTTAAATACAAAGCTGAGTGGTTCACATTCCACTTATTAAAACCCCACCAACCCAAAATATTCAGTGTAGGGGAAATACCCCACACTGTCATTGATCTCCCTCTCTTACAGGCTCATGAATTCATATTTTTTTCTCAAAATAGAAAGATATTCCTGGTAATGCAACTATTTGTAGTGGTTTTTTCTGTTCCCTCGGTCGTGTGGGTTAAATATTTTAAAAGGATTGGAGAAGAGCTTGGAGCAGAAACCCCCTGAAAGCCTTGGGAAGGTTTGGTCTCCCGGTGGGGGATTTTGGGTGTCTCAGTGTTGGGTGATTGGACTGCACAGATCCAGAAAGGATCTGTGATGGAGGAAACAGCTGTTTCTTATAATGATTTAGAAGTACAAATCTTTGCTGTGAAAACACCAAGTGAACTGGTGGGTTTAGTGAACCCCCTGTGCCTTGGTTCTGTTTGGTGACCGTGTCCATCAGTGTCTTCCTTTGGCTCATGGAGAGGGTAAGTAATTCCAAGTGCTGGTGTGTCCTTTTATGGCCTGTGTCCCCTTTCATCTGCCTGTCCCAGGGGAAGCTGGAAAATAGTAGGATCCTTAGAAGTGGGAGAAAAAAAAAGGAAATATGTAGGATTCATGTTGATGGGAGAAACAGTTGTCATTTATGTCCCATCTTTTTCTGTAGGTGTTCTATTCATGGAATCAAAGAAGGGTTTGGAAAGGGTTGGAAGGGACCTTAAAGATCATCCAGTCTCACCCCTGCCATGGGCAGGGACACCTTCCACTAGCCCAGGTTGCTCCAACCTGGCCTTGGACACTTCCAGGGATCCAGGGGCAGCCACAGCTTCTCTGAGAAACTCATCCCAGTCCCTCATCACTCCTACAGGGAGGAATTCCTTCCCAATCTCCCATCTCTCCCTGCCTTCTGGCAGTGGGAAGCCATTC